GCAGTAATTTCGTAGACAGAAGCCAAAAGTTTATTTGAAATATATTAATGATAAACTATTTCAGAAAAGCTTCAAAATAACTGCAGTGTTTTTTTAGTTAAGACTACACTGCAGAAAACCTGTTGTTAACTCTAGAAAAATTACAAAACTTATTCAGTTCTGTAGATAAACTGTAATTTATTTTTAGCTGTGTTAGTTTGAAAAAAAAATAGATAAATATTCGTACAAATAAAGTGATATATTAAGTAATTCTACTCTAAACCAGTGAAAAAAATTCCTCATTCAACAGGCGTGGTGTCAAATGGAAGATAGAAACTATTGATATGAATAGAATAGGTAAATAGATTGACAAATATAATAGACAAAGTGATACAACTTATTGTTCAGATATCGTTATCACTAGATAGACTGAAACCATTTCACCCAATTAACAAAGAGCTGAATAGAGGATTGCGGCATTGAGTCACCGATTTTTTTTTAACTCTACTCAATTTTTACCTGCTCATTTGCTTTAATTTTCAAACATTTTGTGAAGTCCAGAGTTTCCTGTGCTGTCTTTTTACTTTTTATTTGCATGAGCTAAAACCTAAATTTCTTAGGTTAAGTGTAAACCTGCTACTTTTCCAGCGGAAATAGTAACTAAGTCTACTGTGGTACATAAATTGTGGGCGAAAATAGGTTGCTCGTTTCGTTGGCAAGCAGGCCGAAATAGTCCTTGACATAAAAACAATGTCGCTAAAAAACGACATGCCTTCATAAAAAGCTGCAAAAAGTTTTTTTTCCCCCACCTTCTCATTCATGCCTTCTTCCAAATGCACAACTAGTTTGAAACTATACTGGCTAAAAAATATTAGTTGTTCCTGTTGTGAAAGAAATATTTTCCCCTCATTTAATGTTAATTTTATTCTCATCTAATTCTAAGAATTAATGATCATGTTATTGGTGGTACTTAGCATATCACTGGAGCTGATTCGATTATTTTGACTAATTTCGTTTGCGGATCTAGTTGAAGATGGAACTTGTTAGAGATTTAGGCATTGGTAGAATGTGTGAGCCATGGCGATGTAACTTCAGGATCTCCCTTTCCCCAACTACCATTCTGCAATCCAGCAGATGGTATAAATAAAAAGTAAAATAATAATATTTTTGAAACCTCATTTTTTTTTCTTTTGCAAGGGTCCTTAGGACAATATATATATATATGCGAGGCGCATCCAGAATGTAAGTTTCCCTAATTTATGAGAAAAAAAAGCTCACACTTTCAGGAACATATTTACTGGCTACAAGTAAGTAAAGCAATGTTTCAGCTATTTTTCTACATAGACACGACCAGAATTGAGACACTTGTCATATCGTGGGATTAACTTTTGTATCCCTCTGTCATAGAACTCTGCCGTCTGTGAATGGAACCAGCGTGTGACAGACGTCTTTAGCTCTTCATCATTGCCAAAACGCTCACCGGAGGACAGGAATTTCTTGAAATGCAAAATTGGAATGGAATTTCTTGTTGTGCAAAAAACGTGAACATTGCTGGGAGCAATATCAGGGCTGTAGGGTGGATGATCAAACAACTCTCTGCCAAATTCCGTTAAGACAGCTGCTGTGCGCCATGCCGTATGTGGACAAGCATTATCATGGGGGAGCGCACCAGCTGCAGTGAGCATTTTTCACGACTCTTGTTTTGAATGGCAAGTCACAATTTCCGCAGTGTTTCACAGTAACGATAGACGTCTGCTGCACGCTGATTCCATTCTCAGGCAGCTGAGTTCTACGACAGAGGGATACAAAAGTTGATCCAACGATATGACAAGTGTCTCAATTCTGGTGGCGGCTATATGTTGAAAAATAGTTGAAACATTGTTGTACTTGTTGCCGATAAATATGTTCCTGAAAGTGTGAGTTCTTTTTTTGAAAAAATTAGGGAAACTTACTTTCTGGATACACCTCGTATATATATATATATATATATGTGATTCGTTTTCTAAATGCAAAGAAAGTTAAACCATGTGAAATTCATCGGCANTTTTTATGTTATATATATATATATATATATATATATATCAAGGATTCACGTAGAAATGTTCCGATGTGTAAAGTTAAGCTTAGTATTTTTTAAAAAATTAGAGCTCCGAGAATCATAATTAATTGCTCAATGAGTCACATTTCAGAGAATAGAATTATTTTACTATTCGTTACAATAGAATGTCTGCAACTGACCATTTCGTAGGTAAATCATCGCAGTTTTTGATTCAGAAGACAAGCATGGTAAACCAAACAGCGCGAGAACCCTTGTATGTATCCAAATTATTCCGATTTTTATCACATGGTTAAACATAATCACTTCACTTTTGGAGTTGAAAGTACCGAATTTTTCTCATTTTTATTCAGTGAAATCACACAGTTTTTTAAAGTCATTATTAAATGTTAATTTTGTTAGTACTTATGTTTAACTTCCAAATAAGATGATTTTTCTCCTTTTCATTAAAGAATATTAATCGTTCAGATTTATACTCAGAATACCGTTTCTTTAATTAGAAAATAAGTGATCCCTTCATTTTATATAATGCGCACTTAATTTTCCCCTATTATAAACACACAATTATTAACACTCTATTATTAACATCTTTTTTTAATATTAACATTCAACAAAATTTTGGGCCGGGATAGCCTGATCGGTAGGGTGCTGTTCGCACATCCGAGAGTTCGTGGGTTCGATCCTCGCCGCCCGAAGACTCCTCGTGTAATAAATGGTGACTGATACACGTTAAATCTGTCGAGTCACAAAGTCCTTCATGTTCCCATTACAAATCATAGCTCTGGGGCAATGATCCAGGAGTTTCCTTGTCTTCTGGATTGGTTCAAAATTACAAAACTGCGGAGTTGAACATTAGCAGTCGTAAACCCAAAACTGGGTCGGCAGTTCAACTACGGTTATAAAATAAAATATAAAATACCTCTGGGGGTACTGAATTTGAGATCGATTGTTCTGTTATTCAGTTCAACAATTACGATCTGTGGATGAATGAATGGATGAATGAATGGGTCTGCCCTATAAACGGGTGTGACGTATGGGTGTGGCAGAAGTCGAATTCATGGCCATAGATGTCGCCACTGGAAAACAAGAACAATCGCACCCCACAGCCTAAAACAGACATACGTCAACAACAACAAAAAATTTTATTTCATGATTGGCACAGCGAGAGTAAGTCATTCAAATAAGTGATATTTTTTTTAACTGAATCATGTCATTGTTAGAAAATATTTGTTCCTAGATTCAATTTCTTACACCTGGTATGATGCAATTGGAGAGAGATACCAAGATATAGCAATTTATTTGAATGGAATATACGAAACAACGGACAATAAAGTGATGATCTAAGTGATTTTCTTCCTCGTCAGAAAAGAGTTGTCACCAGAAAAACTGACGCAGGTTCTTTTTATACCCAGATAATAGACAGGCAAATAAAGTATTTGAATAAAGCAGATAGATAGATCGACAAATAGAATTATATGTTATGGAATTTTCCTTCTTTCCAGAAATGGTTGTAGTTCTTGGATAGACAAATATTATTTTCTTTTTCAAGAAATGTCAAATTGATCAAACGACAGTCTTTAAGTAAAATAAAGAAATAAATAAAATTTGATGCATGCTAAGACGAATATGAAATAGGTTTATATCAAGAAAAAATAGTTACTGCTGAACCTAGAGCCATTTTTTTTTCAAAGCATGTCGATTCAATTATGATATTTGTCATCATGACATTAATTAATAAGCGTTATGCACCAGAATGCAATAGAAAATGTTTTTTAGTTAAAAGTTAATAGATAAGAAACTTAGCAAAATTCACTAAAAGAAACTTAAACTTGCGTTATGTTATTTTTCTTGATGAAGTAATTTGTACCGGTTTTCGATAAGCAGCAATAATAAAAATTAAAAAAAAACACAAGATAAAAACTGTCATCAGACAAAAATATTTCAAATAGGAGGAACTCTAGGGAAATAAAAACAAATGATTGTTTACTTTTCAGATACACCTAATTAAGCATTTATGTTAATGTGGTTTGCTTTTGATTTATCATTTGTTGGAAATGATTTAAAAAAATGAAATGGATAATCAATGACTGATTATTTTATTCCCGGCTGTAATGACATTTCATTTCCGCATCCAACTTGAATTATGATCATTTTCCAAAAAAAGAATTTTCATTAGGTGTCTAGGAAATCTTTAGTTATAAATTATTAATGACAAAGCATTTATACATATTTTCCCTTTCCTCCTTTTTTTTTTTTTTTTTGATGAAAGAACAGGATATTTTTGCTAAAAATTTAAGAACAAATAATGACATAGTTCTGATTATGTAAACTTAGTAAGTTCATTTATGCGTATCCTAATGATTTTCAGCTATAGAATATTAAAATGAAAACTAACCATCGTCTAAAAATAAATTCTAACTAAGTTTTAATTAGTAAGAATTTCTTATAAATGATTTTCCTCTATTGATTTTGAAGTTTTATTTAGTATGAATTTCCTATAAATGATTTATTTATAGGAATTATTAATGATCCTATAAATGAATAGATTTTGATTCGCTAATAATTTTCGTCCTAATTTATTTGTTAATTTAAATGAAATATTAATTACCTTTTAGGTCATCCAGGTTTTTAATAATTTGTTTTAAAATATCCATATTTAAATAATACATTACCCATTTATATAAAAAATACATTTAAAAAGTGGAGCTTTTTGAAATGAAACGAATTTAAATTAAGTTTTAGCTTATGTTCAGCATGCAAGCAGTTTACAAATTATTCTACGAGAAATAGAGTTATAAACTTAACTGTTGTTTTATTCATTTAGTTGCTCATTTACCATTACGTTAGTTAACTGTTCGTTGAAGAAAATCTGTTAATTAAAACAATTTAAAACATTAACAAACATGTGTAATATTACAGTTGCAGCCAGCTCGTAAATTTAATTCTGCATTATTTCTCATATTAGATGGTATGGCAGATCTTTTCAAAACCATTGTCAGTAGCTCTTATATTCATATTTTGGTTAATGGTTCACTGAACTTCCGAAGCGTAGAAAAATCTGACGAAGGTGCGTATCTGTGTGAAGCAAACAATGGCGTAGGAACTGGTTTAAGTACAGTAGTGAATTTAAAAGTCCATAGTAAGTATTTAAGTTTTTTTTTCAATTGAAAATGTACTTTTGAAATGAAAGGATTTTATTTTTAGAGAACAGTGGCGAACAGGTTTTTTTTTAAAGTTAAAAAATAATTTTATCTAGAAGAAGAAATTATCAAAGTTAAAATAAAAATATTAGGGGTTTAGCATTATTTACGTTTCTTCCAAAAAAAATTCAAGAAAATATTTTAGAAGTTAATTTTAATTTTCAAAAAGGAATTTTTAAAAATTCGAAAAAGGAATTATTAAAATTTTTTTTTTCCTAAAAACTTATAGTTCTAGGTCATATACCATTCATTCCATTCCTTCTAATTGGGATCAACTAATTAAATAAAAACTTTCAAAACAGTTCTCAATTTTATATATGGACAAATAGAAATAAAACTTAATCAGTATAAATAAAGAAAAATTGATTTATTTCAAAAGTTATTGAAACAAAAGTAGTTTCGACACTTATTTTTTGATTTCTCAATTTTATTTCATTATGCTGAAAGGTACCCACAAAAATTTTCTCAAGAGGGAGGATGCAACTGATACACTACATATATATTTAATACACTACATGTATATATTACATATATATACACTACATATATATTTAAACTATACGTATGATATAAACATAAATGAAAAACAGGTTTTTAAAAATGAAATTCAAATTAAATTGCCTTTGTAACCCTTTTCTCGATTGAAAGCTTTGGTTTAACTCCTGAATTACTATACTTTGACGTCAAAAGCAAACCCCGCCTCATTTTGCATGACGTGAAGTTAGCTTTGATTTGGGGTAATTTTAAGTTAAGTTTTTTCTTAAAATTCGGGTCATTTTTTGAAATTCTGAATTGATTTTAGAGAGTTTTAAGATATAGACTATTTAAAATACACTCTAAGTATAAGATTCTATCTATACGCTCTCATAAATCTAACACATGAATAACCAATTAAGCACTTTAAAAATTAATAAAATTATAAAAAGTATATTAAACAAAATTATAAAAAGTTTAAATATTCAATACTTTCAGTAATTTAATTTTTAAATTACAAAACAACAAAGAAAAAGAGAAGCAGGGGGCTAAACAGGCTCCATCCGTCTTTCTAGTGTGTAGAGAATTTCTATGTTTAATCGATTATCTCCATTATCGTTGAACGGTTATTCGCTTTGTATTATAAAAGCCTATGCTCATACAAAATTTCATGAAAGTTTGTCTGGCATTTGGAAAAGATTATCGATCAAATCTGCAAATTCTAACTTCAGAGGATAATACCTAGTACAGTTTAAATAATTCTATGGATTAAACTCAAAGTCCAACTAAAAAAATATAGTTACGCAATATAGTTTTAAAAAATATAGTTTTTAAAAATATAGTTTTTAAAAATATAGTTTTTAAAAATATAGTTTTTAGAATTATAGTATTTAAAAATATAGTTTTTGAAGATATAGTTTTTGAAAATATAGTTACACAAATTAATTGGTGCTTGATTGTTGACATTTTCTCCAATATCACAATCCTATTTGTTTTATTGAATTTTACAACAGCGTTGCTGATACATTAATTCATAATAATAGGCTTCGCGATGCACATCTACGAAATACCTTAACTTTTATTTAAATTCGAATGATTCTAATACGTTGAAAATACAATAACCACCTCCATGCAACTACATCGATTTTTTTTCACGCATTTCCAGCCCAAGAGAATAGCTACTTTGGCTCTACTCAGTTTCGAGATGTAGCTTCCTAATCTGCCATCATTCCATAAATTTTAGATCTGAACTATAAAGAGGCTTTGTAAGACGCTTTACTTCCCTGCTCTTATATCTTTTCAAGACAAGGGATGAAACTGAATGACTTTCTCCCTCCTTTTCCTAAACATGCAGAGATACAATATTTTTAAGGTGTTTAAAAAATTTTATTGATTGAAAGTAAAAAAAAAAGAAAAACGAAAAAAATAGTTTACGTTTACTGACGTAACTAAAATATTTAAGTTTAATCAAAATTGCATTTTATATGCAAATGTGATTTCTAAAAAAAAAATTTTTTTTTTGAACAACTTTAAATTTAATTGAATATTTACAAAACTGTGTCATTAAATACCAATTGCACTGTAATTTTTTTTAATCAAATACGGTAAAAAGCACGGAACATATTCCCGAAAAACAAATCTAATGCATCTTATTTTTTAAAATAATAATTTCCGTAAAATCGTTGAATCACACTAATTAAATAAATATTATTCTGAAAATTCAGAAGAAATATTTTATAGGTAACAATGGAATTTACGGATGTGTGTGTACCCAAAGTGGCGGTACATTATACCGTAATTTAATCCGAAACATTTTAATGTGTGGGTGTGACTGTTAATAAAACGTAATTTGTTCTTCATAAATAGCCATAAATTTTTTTTAAATGTTGACATAACAGTGTAAATTTAAAACCAACATAAAAATAATAATTTTGGGCAAAAAAGGTATGTTTGCATAGATGAAATAAGCTTTAACTTCTTTCTAGATTTATTAAAATTTTTAGGAAATATTAATTTAAACAAATTTGTTAAAAATAAATTTTAATTTTTCTTTTGATATTTCCTTATGTGTTACCTTTAATATTGCATTTATTTATTTAAAATTTTATTCTAGGTGCACCGAAGTTTCATACCAAATTTTTCGTGTTAACTGAAAGAAGAGGAGAAAAAGTTGTATTAACTTGCATTTCATATGGTGATATTCCCATGACTTTCATATGGAGAAAAAATGGAGAGATTTTAGATCCACAGTCCAAGCCAAGGTAAATCTAACTAATGAGAGATTGGGACCAAGCTCAAAGTCTTTTTTTTTAACAATTTTTTTAAATTAAAAGAATATTTACGTCACGTATTTATTATATATATATATATATATATANATAATATAATATAATATAATATAATATAATATAATATAATATAATATAATATAATATAATATAATATAATATAATATAATATAATATAATATAATATAATATAATATAATATAATATAATATAATATAATATAATATAATATAATATAATATAATATAATATAATATAATATAATATAATATAATATAATATAATATAATATAATATAATATAATATAATATAATATAATATAATATAATATAATATAATATAATATAATATAATATAATATAATATAATATAATATAATATAATATAATATAATATAATATAATATAATATAATATAATATAATATAATATAATATAATATAATATAATATAATATAATATAATATAATATAATATAATATAATATAATATAATATAATATAATATAATATAATATAATATAATATAATATAATATAATATAATATAATATAATATAATATAATATAATATAATATAATATAATATAATATAATATAATATAATATAATATAATATAATATAATATAATATAATATAATATAATATAATATAATATAATATAATATAATATAATATAATATAATATAATATAATATAATATAATATAATATAATATAATATAATATAATATAATATAATATAATATAATATAATATAATATAATATAATATAATATAATATAATATAATATAATATAATATAATATAATATAATATAATATAATATAATATAATATAATATAATATAATATAATATAATATAATATAATATAATATAATATAATATAATATAATATAATATAATATAATATAATATAATATAATATAATATAATATAATATAATATAATATAATATAATATAATATAATATAATATAATATAATATAATATAATATAATATAATATAATATAATATAATATAATATAATATAATATAATATAATATAATATAATATAATATAATATAATATAATATAATATAATATAATATAATATAATATAATATAATATAATATAATATAATATAATATAATATAATATAATATAATATAATATAATATAATATAATATAATATAATATAATATAATATAATATAATATAATATAATATAATATAATATAATATAATATAATATAATATAATATAATATAATATAATATAATATAATATAATATAATATAATATAATATAATATAATATAATATAATATAATATAATATAATATAATATAATATAATATAATATAATATAATATAATATAATATAATATAATATAATATAATATAATATAATATAATATAATATAATATAATATAATATAATATAATATAATATAATATAATATAATATAATATAATATAATATAATATAATATAATATAATATAATATAATATAATATAATATAATATAATATAGTTTTTATTATTGTGGTGAAAGGCCATGATTTTGAGGACCAATTGCAGGCGTCCCACGGATCACACATTGAAAATTTAATGCTTTTGAAACTCCAGAAGTTTTAACAGTACCGAACGATGGAAGAAATCGACGATGCAAAAATGGGAATTAGTTATTAAGTTAAAAAAAAGCATTTTTTTTCTCTCTTTTCAATGGGGGATTGGTTCACCGTTTCTATCATTACTTTCAACCTATGACTTACATTATGATATGAAAAAAAAATCTATTTTATTATTCTTCAAAATTATTTTCTCTTCATTTCTTTATGTAATAGATACAGCCAGCAGCCAGAGAATGTTAAGGGGGGAGCAGGAGTTACTCTTGTCATCGAAAAAGTAGAGCGTGGCGACACAGCGACATTTACATGTTCTTCCATGAATGACTTTGGAGAAGATTCTATGAATTTTCAATTAACCATTCAAGGTAAACAAGTTTCAGATTTTCAATTTCTCTTTGAGCTACTCAGCTGAGACAGTTTCAGGCCCCGATAAATCTTTTTTCTTGAACTGTATTTTATCGATTTCCTGTCGTAGAAGACATTTGTAAACACGATTATCGATTTCTGCTTCATAACCATGGTTGACGTTATTAGGTAAATTTTGTTATGGCTTGAAATTTATGATATACTTATTCACCAGCGTTGCTGCATAAAATCTATAACTATCTAAAAACTGGTCGAAACATATTTCACATTAGCGTCATGTTTATTTATTTTTACTTGCATAGGAATATTCGCATAAAGATACAATTCGAACTTTGCTTTCTAAGTCCGAATGTGTTTTCAATTGTTTGAATTTTCTAAATAGTTTTAAAAATTATTGTTTATTTTTCGACCTTTGGCTTAAATAAACATTTAGAAGAAGTTAAGCTCGAATGTTAAGTTACCTTTTGAAATTAAATTGCACATTACTCACAAAAATAAGCACTTTTATGTAAAATTTGCATAGAAAATGCATTCTTTTCAATTAAAATGTAAAATTTTATTAAATGAAACTTTTTGGAGGACTTCTCTAAAAAACTTCCTAATTGTTTACACATGCAATCAAAAATATCTCACATCCAAAATTCTAAAAAACTAATCATTGTCTTTTTTATGCAGTTATTGTTTTCTATTTTTATACACGAAAAAATAACAATTCTAACTTAAAATAAATGTTATATCTTAAGTAACAACTAAACCACATAGAGTATATACGATGATATCTTCTTAATGACTGTTCTGTTCCATTCGTCAACTATTTTTGGCAAAATAGTATTAAATAAAGAAATTAAAGTGGATTGATTTTATATCTATAATCAAATGTAGGAATTAAGGTGGATTTTTGAATTATTCTAATTTCTTATAAAGATGTTCCAGATGCTCCCCAAAATCTTGAAATTCATGATGTAGGAAGTCGAACAGTAAGGTTGACCTGGAATAGACCATTTAATGGTAATTCTCCCATTCTGCATTACTCCATTTCTTGGCGAGACATAAAAGGTAAGTACGTTTTTACTTTTGATTGACAATAAAAAATAATAATATTCGCGTGATCAATTGGTCCTATCAATACTGTCGTCATATCAATGTGTTTATAGAAAAAACAACTATGAAGAGAATCGGAGATCTTTAAAAATAGTCAGGTAAAAGTCTTTGTTAGAATTCAAAACCCAACAATAAGGAAAATTGTTCAAAGAAGAATAGGTTAGTAAATTAGGGCTAAAGGATTTTGAGTAATCTAACTACTTATAGCAGAAGTCAGTTAAAAACTCCCTTAATGACTTATGGTGCAAGGGTCATGATTTCTTTCAATGTAATATTAACAATCTCTAATTTAAAGTCATATTATATTTTTTGAATAAAAATATGAAGGGTGTAAAACAGAACCCAAACAATATAATGCAATGTTTTAGTTTTGTATTATCTTTTTTTAGAAATTTCGTTAATTATGTATTTGATTATTTAAACAAGAATAGTTTAAAGCTTAAATGACAAATTTTTTTAGATCAATCTTTAGGTGGTCCGCTAACAGTACCTGGAGACGAAACAACATTAACTGTAAGGGGATTAAGTCCAAAAACAAGGTACTTCTTCCGAGTGAAATGTGAAAATAGCTTGGGCGAAAGTCAGTATGGAGCAGAAGTAGCAGTCACCACTCTGGAAGAACGTAGGTATAAATATTTTCATACTACTTAAAAAAATAGCGGAATGAAAATTACATTTAAAGCACCCATTTTAAAAATCAACACTATGTAATTCTTAAATTTTTGGTCATTTTTTCATAGTATAAATGAGACTAAGAACATTGTGACTTTTGAATTACTAGCAATAAAATATAGACCATGCTTTTATCTAAACAGTTTTCAAGATATAAAGTTTAATCTTTCTTTCTCTTTCGAAAAATTGTTTTACCATTCAAAATTAAAAATTTGAAATAATGCACTTAAGATTTATTCTATAAAGCAAATATGCCTATCTACTATTTTATTTTTTGTATTCCACGCTTATTGCTGAGATTATCGTGTTGATCGTATCGGTGCATTGAAGGGAAGATTTTACTTAACGGCTTACAAAAAGAGGATTAAAAAGTGTATCAAGTGAAAAAAAAAGCGAAAAAAGATATTTGTGATTAAAAATAAAATTGTCACTTAAGTCTAAAAAATTTAAGTCTTATAATTTTAGGCTTATGTAACTCGAGAGATATATGTGTTATGAATAGTACGATAAATCAGCGATAGCTGCACATTGACCATAAAATAAATGTCGACAATATCAAAATTATTTCCTCTCCAGTCACAACAGCTCATATTCATGCCCTGAAATGTTGCTTGATTTATACGAATGCTGATTCACTTGTTGAGCACATTAGTCCTTAACAAACTTATCAAAGTGCATGGGATTGCATGTTTCCCTGATTCGCCCCTCTCAGCCACAGATGTTCTGTTTTTCCATATTTGTTTTTATTTCGCGGCAACTGCGTTCTTTTAGTTTTGTTCCTCAGCAGTTTTTTCCTTTTCGTTTACATCTTTACGTTTTAATTTTTAACCACGTTTGTTTCTTCTAAGTCATGTCTGACAAGCCTTGAGAGTGGGCGTCCATTCTTGGGTGCTAGAAATATGTTGAGTTTTATTCTCATTCTCTCTCTCTCTATATATATATATTTTCAAAAAAATCATTGTTTGATAAAGGTTTTGTTATGTTTAGCATAATGAAAATTTTCAGTATTTTAAATCTAAAAGTCAATAGTTTTGAAATAGTGAATTATATTTTTCAGGATTTACAAATTGCTTAAAACACTTAAAAGCTAAATTAAAGAAAAGAAATTCAAATAAACCACTCAAAGTAAAACCACGTTACGTTTATAACACTTGTTACAACTTCAAAGACTTTTTTATAACCTTTCCAGTACTGCAAGCCAAACACGATTGGCTCTAGAAGTAATAAATAAATAAACAAACAAATGAACTTAAGTAAATAAATAAATCCCTTCAAAGAAGAATTCAATAGTTTACAGAATCTCATCGAGAACGAGAGGTTGGTATTTCTATTTCTTTTTATTTATCGATTTCTCTTGTAATTGTGTTATTGCAGTTTGGTGTGGGGAAAGATAAATGATTTTCGGAAATAAAGTATAAATAACTAACTTTATATTACAACGCTATTTTTAGAGAGAAAAAATATAGCGATCAAAGAAAAAAGCTTAAATAATATTAAGTTGCAAATAAAGATAGCAAAAAGAATATTTCCCTTTAATATGTTCAGACGCTTTTTGCTTACCACATCTTAGATATTATCAATTTTCCAACATTATAATTTCTGTTACTTAAGATTGATGTAAAACTAATAAACTTCTTCATCCTTCCTCTATTGTGCTCAAAATTAAAAGATTTCTCGAATTTCATCAATAACTTCAGAGCTAATTGAAACTATTTATAAAAAATTAGAGTGAAGATAGGTTGATTTGATACTAAGATTGTAACCATTTTATAGTTATAATAGGTATTACACATGAGTATGTAAGTATTGTTACATATTTACATACATACTCATGTGTAATTACTATTGGTGTCGAAAGATATGGGATATGATTGACTGAAAAGAACAATAAAATAAGTTTATAAGGAGTTAATTCTTTCTTCGTTAATTTTCAACAATGTGCTGGATTAACATTATAGTTTCACTGATTGAAGCAAACAGATTAGATATCACTATAACAATTGGCCGTTTTTGTTCAGAAACGCTCTTTTCAAGCTTAGATGTGTGCCGGAGGGAAGTCACAAGTTGAAATCGTCCTCCTCAGACCATCCCGGTCTTGTTTGCAAAGATTTAAATCTAGAGACCTAACTAATCATTATGTACGGTTATGGTTTTTTTCTTTCCCAGAATAATCCTTTACAGTATGATATGCTGCCAAAATTGAAAGAACATTAGAGTAAAATTTTGGCTATATTTACTCATGTCAGGGGGGGCATAAGTTCCAAGACATCATTTCTCTTACATGAGTCTCAGTATATTTGTCAAAGCCATGAAAGTCGCATTTAGACTGAAGCCTGCGTGGAACATCGAAACTCGTCTGCCATAATGAACTATTTCTCGTAAGTTGGACGTAGAGTAACATGTCTACGTAGTAACACAATTATATGGACGTAGAGTACACAATTTATGGACGTAGAGTAACACAATTATACAAAAAGAGAGGCGGGAGCCCTTTACCTTCCTCAAATTTCAGAGAAATCAACAATTATGAAAATTATAAGTAAAGTCTCTTAATGTTGAACACAAATAACGCTACTATATAACAAATTAAATATAAGTAATAAGCCTTTTTTCATTGTCAAATCACTTATATCGTTATAACGTTGTTATTGCTTCAGGTATTATACATCAAATAATTTTCTTGTTTCTAAAATACATTTCCTTTACTCAAAACATGTTTCTTATTTCTAGCTCCTAGAAATGCCCCTTTAGGAGTTAAAGCAATTCCAATTTCATCGACATCCATTAACATTTCTTGGCAGGTAAGTTAGTAAATTCTTATTTAACATATCACAGTCCGAAAGAAGATCATTTAACATAATAGTAATTTTAGCGTTATTTAGCATAGCGCTGAAATACGATCTTGAGTTTTAATCTATTAAGTTCAATTTTGAAGTTAATTAAAGTGTAATACCGCAGAAACTAATTTGCTAACTATTAAAGACACATTCTTAACTAATCACTATTTCTAAACTCCCTCAACGCTCAAGTCTCTCTTTCAAGTTTCAAACTACTAATTAATTTTATTGTAGTCAAAATACTAGTTAATTTTATTTTTGCTGCATTGCGAAATGAATGTTTTTTTTCGGTTTTAACGCTATCTCGGAGGATCGTAATATTTTGAAGATTGCTTGTAGTAAAACTATGCTAATAGTTTCGTGGGAGTTTTGTAGACACTGTATAAAATTGTTCTATATGAAACTCTATAAGCCTTGCGTTTCCAGGTCCATACAAAATTAAAGGGTGGAGTCATTGTAACAGCTTTTGAGGATTATTATATCAATTTTGCCTTAAAGGCTAACATTTGAAGCTACAAAAAAGCCGCAATAAATTATATTGCTCTAGTCTTCTCTTTTAAAAATATAGGGATTCATTGAATATATTGTATTGATAAATATAGAAACATTAATTTTTTTAAAAATCTGTGGATATTTTTTTAGAAAAAAAATTAAAAGAATCATATTTTCAATAGGAATAAAAAAAACGCAGTAATCCATTGAAAATATCTCGAAGTAAGGATCTCCTCTGAATTAATGCATGCATAAGTTAAAGAATATAATTTTTAGCATACATTGTTACTCAAACAAATTGCTCACAAAGTTTAAATCACATAAATTGTTTAAAATAGTTAATGTATAAGACCGAAGATTAAATGTGTGAGATGAAGAAATACAAATTCGATTAAAAAAAGTCTACAAGCTCCTCCTAAAGTATTATTTTTCAGTCCCTCTTTTTTTTTTTTAAAAAAAAAACTACTTTTATACTTTGAACAATATAAAGGGATATATGAGATTAGTCAATAGCATATTTGATACACGAAATTTCTTTCTGGCTTTACAGTTCCAGTAAGAAACAAAAACATTGATTTAAATGCTGCATACTTGAATCTTGAAATACATAACTTTAAAACTTTACAAATACCTCTATACTGGCGTGCAATTGAAAAATTTGAATTGATTTGGAATTTAACTTTAAAATTGAAATTTATTTCGAGAGAAGTAACTTGACAACTTTTTTTCTTTCTATTGCTAAGGCTATGAATGCTAAAATAGAGCATCAAAAAACTAATAAAATAAAATTCGTGTTGGAATTTTTTTTTGCAATGTGTAGCTTACCACACAAAGATGCCAAATATGTAAAAAACTCATTTAGGAATTTTTGTCGCTTGCATTGATTTTTTCAATTGCACGGGAGAACACATCCATTGCTTTTTGATATATTACACTGATGTAAGAAATTAAGTGAATTCTCTAGGACTACAGAATCGATTTTAATGAAATTTGATATGTACATACATTGATACAATACAAAACAAACAACTATTCAGCAATTGTAATACACACATATGATCATGCGTAACTCTCTTTGGAGTCTGAAGGTAAGAAATTGCCACATGGCAATTCAGGCCAATTGCCACAGGAAATAATAAACTGCCTTATTTCAAGTATGAAATCACGCTGGAAGGCCTGTATATCTGAAAGAGGGGGCCATACCCACGATTAACCCATTTTTTTGTACATTCTGCAACCTCTGTTTCATACCTTCCGATTCCAACTAGTGTTACGCATGACCAAGAGTGTGTATTGCAATTGTTGAATGTTTATTTGTTTTGTATTGCATCAATGTATGTATATATAATATTTCATTGAAATCGGTCCAGTATTAATAGAGATAATCCATCAAGTCTGCAAATTCTCTTAATTTCTTACACGAGTGTTTTTGTTGATCATCCATATTAAATTCATTGCAGTGTCTCTTTGCTTCCTGACAAAAATACACAATTCTTTTTGTTATTAAATAAATAAATTGTTATTTGTCAATGTTTTAATATGTAAAATTATCTCTGAATAGAACAACATTTAAAAGGATTCAATATTTATGCATTAGGGTTTAATATTATAATGAATATATAAGAAGCTCTGTTCATCCTATAAGTGTCTATAATGCATAAAAAGTAAAATTTTATAGATTCAGATACTTTTTACAATAAATACGAAAAACAATTCTTTTCAGAGGCCAATTGAAATTGATAGAACGCGTAATGTAGATGGATTTTATGTCGGATATAAAACAAAAGATGGAATTGAACCATATACTTTTAAATCAACGGTGATCAGTGAGGGAGTCGTACAATATTATGAACTTCGCAATTTGAATCGATATACAGAATACAGTGTTATTGTTCAACCCTTTAACAGTCGGGGAGCTGGTCCACCTTCTGATGAAGTTTTAACCAGAACTTTGGAGTTTGGTAAGCATTAAAAAAATTATATTAGTTTATAATTGCTATTAAACTTATACTTTCCATTCTAAGATAGTTTAAATAGACATTTTATACTTAATTATTAATCAGTAGCGTATTAAAAAAAGTAAAAGAGAAGAAGACTGAGGTAACTTAACTTTTTCCTGTTTGTTACATACATAAATTTGTTTTCAATAGGGAAATATGTGTTGTTTACACCTTTCTGCCATTAACTTACTTTTTAAAGGTGATGCTTATAATTTCTGATTTTCAAGCGCAATAAATAAAAACAAATTTTGATAATTATTTTAATTATATCCTCACTGCAAAAAATTCCAGATCAAATCACAATATATAGTACCGGCACTTTGAAAATGCACTTCGGCATTCGTAAAATCCATTTTACCTTAAACTCTATTTTGCAGTAAAATACTTTTTAGCATAAAATTCATTTTACCGTAAAATCTATTTTACAGTGAAATATTTTATCATAATTTTTCCAGTTTAATTTATTTAATTAGAGTGTTTCAGTGATTTACGAAAATTACTACTTTGAAAATTACGGTATATTACTTTTGTTCCGTAACATACTCTGAAAAAAATTAATTTTACTGCAAAAATACCGGCACACTGAGGGCTGATTGTTTTTACGCTAATTTGATCCGGAATTGAACAATGAAAGAATTTTTTTTTTAAAAAATGAATTTTCTTAAAACATACCTAATAAATTATCCAAAAAGATAACGTTTTAACTCACTAATTTATTTGATTTGCATGCTTGAACTTTTACTTGCCATAAAATAGTGTTATACTTTCAGGAAAATAAATAATTTCATAAACTTTCAATACAAATCTTGAATAAAATCAAAAAATCAAAAATCTATTTCTTTTAATATTTTATTTGGCATTTGCAAATATGCCTAACTGTATGTAGAAAAGATGTTTTTTCACTATTGTTTGCATTTACTTCCTAAATGATGTACTAACATATTTTAAAATATTGAAAAAGCAACTAAAATTGCGCTATAAGCAAAAGAAAATGGTTTCCAAAAAAATAAGAATGTATTTAACTGATTTATTTCAATTTCTACAAATTGTAGGTTTTATGTAGATTCTTTTGAAAGACAATTGCTTTTGCTTACATTTTATTAATGAAGCAAGTTCAACAACATGGAAGAAGGAAAATTTTTCTATAAGCGAATCATTCAAGCATTTAAAATAAATTCAAGAAATAATAAACCATTGTTAATCACGATGTCACAATGTTTCGTGAATTATCAATAAGCTTATCTAGAAAGGCATAAATGAACAAAAATTGTGTAGCGTTTTGCTTATTAATATTTCAGATGTTCATCAACGAGTGAATAAGGGAAATTTATTTGGGGATCAGTAAAAAAAAATAAAGAATTGATGATGTCTAAACAAAGCATTTGTTTCGAGGTTTGTTTGTAAGATTATGAATGAAATATTGAATGGTTGAGATAAAAGATTGCAAACATATATCAGAATTGGATGCAAAAGTTACTTCGATGCAGTTATTGTATTGTCATTAATTCAGAAACAATCCATATTATTTAGGGAAGGAGAAAATAAATAATAATTATATTCACTGCAATTGTTTTGGGAATTACGCTTATAAAATCTGAGCATTTATAGAATTATAAACGTCGCATGTAGAAGTAGACATGTTTTAAAAGTTATTATCGTAATATAATTAAAAATCTTTCATACTTATTTTCGGTAAAGTACTAGTTGAATCATAATAGTTTAATTTGTAAATGTAAATCAAGCTCATAATTCATAAATAACATTTATACCAATATACGTGAGTAGAACATAAATAATAATTTTTAATTTTCTTTTAACTGCGAATTATCTATTGAAATATTATTTGTAAATTATGTAAATGGTAAACTTTCTCTACATTGGAACATTAGTTTATTGCGAAAATGTATAAATATTGATGAATTGCTGTAAATAAGAATTTAAAACATTTCAATAAATTTTACTTTTAAAAATTATTTACATAGAAATGTATTAAAATTATAATATTTTATTTTATTAAAATTAACCTTTGTTTGAATGTGACTATAATACAGTATATTTTGCCTTTTGAAAAAATATCGTGTTTATATCTTTACTTATTCTGATAAAATTGTAAATCTAAATACACTTTTACTCAATTCAAGAAAAATATAGCGTTGAAATAAGGTTTTCTTGGTTTAAAATTAATTTCTTATTTTTTAATGCATTTTATTTAACAAGTAGGAATATTGAGTTAGGGTTACACAAACTATCTTAAATTGAAATTAATATATTTTGCTGTTAACAAAAACATAATTTTAGTTTAAATCTTGTAATTATTATTTACTTGCATCGCGAAATTCAACTCTCAAAATCTTATAAATGCCATGAGAAGCATTCCATTTAAAATATTTTAGGTAGACTTATTGTCAAATTATTAAGTTTATACACATTCTATAAAGAGCGTTTATACAATTTTAGTTAAAAGCGTAATATAAAGAATAAGAAATATAATAAAAACACGTATATTTATTTTAAATATATTTTGTATGGAACTACCTTCAAAAACAAAATGAATTTCATTTTAATAGCAAAAGAAATGTTATTTTTTTTCAATTGACAAGCCTGATAACTGCCTATAAAAGTCTAAACAATAATTATAAAATTGTTATTTCACGAATATTTTATTCTAAACAAAACTCTTACATTGTTGCCATGTAAATGTTTTTATCAATTTTATTCTGTAACATAAATAATATTTTAATGCAGATGCACCAGGGATTCCTTCAATAAAGTCATATTTTACAACTTCCAAAACTATAAAACTTTCGTGGGAAATAAATGTTACTCCGTATGCTCCTGTTTTAGGTAAGTCTGAATAATTTTATTATTTTTATAAACTAAAAAAATGAAATAAATTAGTCGTTAGCTATTATTTACCTAAAGTAGCTTTTGAAGTTTAGCTATAAGTTAATTTGTGTTCTTCGTACAGTTATTGACGAAATTAACATAACCAAGTACCTATCAGGTATTTTGGGCAAAATTTATCATAAAATTTTGGAAACATGATTTTGCAACGAATGCGGTTAATGTAATAAATTCGAATAATAATAATAATAACATGCTTTGATAGATATTTTCGATCGAACCGGAATGGTATCCACACAAGATTACGAGAAATTGTAAAATAATAATTAGGGAAATATATTAATAGTTAAATTTTTTTAAAGCTTAAAATGAAATTGCTAAAGACCCTATATTCTACATATTCACCGGAAATTGTTTATAAATTATATTAACGGAAGTACAATTCACTGGACTTTTTTGCAAAATTGTTTCTAGGTTTTCAATTCTGTTGGTTCATTAAGTTTCACTTTTTTATTCGCCTTTATAGTGCAGCTTTCATTTCTCTTCTCTAAGATTACTTGTAAACAACACTCTACTCAGATAGAATTTAACAACATGCCCTGTTATTTTCATCTATGTTTTTCTAATTAATCAAATTTCCTGGTTTAGTACTACTGGTAACTCATGCGAACAATGCAGCAAACAAAACCATAGTGTGTGGTATCGTTATGCATCTCGTAGATATGGTGCTAAGATCAAGCAAATTTTGTAAATATTATAAACTTAAAAAAAGTACTTAATCGGTAATAACCAATATATTGCAAAAGTAATACTACCTGTAATTTAACTATCAATATCAAGAATTTACCAAATAGCATTGTTTCCAAAGCATTGAAAAACTTCTTTTACGCTAAATTTCAACTCTACCATTGTCGAAAAACAGAAAAAAATTATAGCAGTCCTCTTAAAGCCAGTACCTTATCAGAAAGAATATATTTTCACTTCTTATAATTTCAACAAAAGAGATAAACATTGAGTATGCATGAAGAGTTACCTTACATTACATTCTATGAAATAAAATAGCATATGTCACTATGATTCAGTTATCAGTCACCAGAAAACTCAGCCATCTTATTTTCTGTTTTCATCAGGTATATTTATATTCGAACACCATTATTTATCTTGAATGAGTGCCCTAATGTTTTTTGACTGAAATGTACTCAACGTAGCTTAATGAATTACTTAATATGTAAAAAAAAAAATCAGTCGTATTATATTCGTAATGCTGAATTTGTAAAAGTTAGATTGTGCCCGGTTTGCTACCTTTTTTGGAATAATGTAATTCAGATAAATTTGTTTACAGGTTATATTTTATACAACAAAATGGAAGGAAGTACGTGGCAAGAAATAAGACTAAAAGGAGATTACAAGGAGCATCTGTTCCAAGATCTTCAATGTGGCACTAAATACTTCTGCTACATAGTAGCTTTTAATAGTGCTGGACGAGGAAACAGCAGTGAAATTATTTCCGTAAAAACCGATGGGAATGGTAAAAAAATTGCTTATTAAACACTGTAATCACATGGTTATCTTAATTTAAGACTATTTCATTAGTTAAAATTAGCACATATAAAGGCCTTCAAATAGTTAGAAAATATTTGTTTTAAAAAAAAGTTTCATGAAGATTTAAATAACTGTTTCTTTTTGAGCTCATAAAATAAATCGATAATTTACATCTTGAGCGTTTTAAATGAGAAATTTTGTTGCATTAACGCTTGGAATTAAATGGTTGTCTAAACAAACAACGATGCAACCCATTCATGAAAACTATTACGGAAATTAACTGTCAGTATCGATTCAATACAATTGACATCTACAAAATAGTATACTATAGGTGTATATCTACCTTATAAACTATAACTTACTCACATTTCCACTAAAAATACAGAGCACATGTTCTGTAACAGTAAATTTCCGGATTTGGGTTTTAAACATTATTGTCTGTATTTAAACCTTATTGTTCCCGTTTACTTCTTTAGCGTCATATGTGAAACTTATTTATTTGAATTTTTTCTCGAATGAGTACTTGATTTTCCATTAAATTATTATTACAAGAAAAATGAGACAGCAGAATGAAATAATTTTTTTTTTCATTAAAGGAAATTTTCAGTTGAAATTACTGAAAAATTAATAACAGAAATTTAATGTTTAAACTGAAACATTTTATCAACTGAGCTATCAGATTTTTTTTTTCATTTCTTTCATCCATTATATTTAGTTTAAACTTTATTTTATGTTAATTTAGGTTAGGTTTGCGTATTTTAAGGACACGCCTTGAATAATCTAATGAAATTTTTAAAAAAAATCATTCGATTATTTTAAAAAAATGTTTACTTCAATGTTTATATTAAGCTCGTAAAAAGCTTCTCATTTATGTGATGCATATTAGAATGTCTGTGACCATCGATAGATTATAATAAAGATTCATTGTTTAGTATTTGTTCTGTTAAATAGTTTCATTTACGTGCCATATTAAAATTTTCATTCTAAAATTATGGTTGCATAACTTGCAGCTGTCTGTCCATCCGATTAAACGTAAAATTTACGGTAAAGATTTTTTTTTTCCTTTATGGTTTTGAAATCTATAGCAAAAAGTATGGTTATAAAACCATGAATACAAAACCATAAGGTTTTTTAACTATTTACAATTAACATTTTTCAAAAATGAAAAAAAAAATAATAATAATTATTTAACTGGACATATGAGCTTGGCTTTTCGTAAGGAAATGCGCATTGGAGAGTGTCGGACACTGGAAATTATTCATGTGTTGAAAGGAATAGAGGAAATATAGTGGCGTCAGTGCTGGGACTTGAATTCTAGTTTTGTCGGTGATGAGATTGACAGATAAGCCCGATCGACTATGATATGTACGCAGTTGCAAAGAACTACGTAGCTTCATTAGGTGGTTCTAGTTGGTGCGATAAAATTCTGGTTGTTTAGCCGTATTAGGTAAAAGAAGTTAATAAACAGTTTTTCTCAAAGATTACAGTTTGTTCAATATTTCATTTATGGTTATTTGACTGTTTTGGTTAAATAAGGTAAAATAACCATTCAATAAATTGTTATTTAATCATTTTTTTCCCGAGAAATTTCTAACAGTGTAGACTTTCCGCATAGAAGGTTCAGTCTCTATTTCTCCAGGAGTATCTTATATCCAGATAAGTTGTGTTCAAAATTTTCATTTAGTACTTAAATATCCAATTCAGGCGTAAATAAGCTGTTAAACATTTTCATAAGAAATTAAAAAAATATTTTATTTGTGCAAAATTTTAGCTCAATAAAATTTACATTCTTTATTTGAATATAATTATCTAACGCATACACTAAGAAACGAAGGGTATTTATTATTACAACAGTAAATATCGAAAATTAAAGAAAAAGAACATAAAATATAGATAATTAATTAAAGCGGAAGGAGGATTGCGAATGACTTGAGAATAGCTAAAGTAATTTTCGACTGTTGAGCGAACATATCAAAGTAAATCTAAATCCTACTGTGATTCTCGTTAGACAATTGATCTCTTCTGCCGTTGACAGTTGATTCTCATTTGATCACTGGATAATCATTTCCAATTAACCGAGCACACTGTCAATCACAATCTCTCTAAAGCCGCTCAATTGTTTTCCAGAGTATTTCGGTAAGATTTGAGTCGATTCCATTTGAACTGGTTTTGATTCAAATGGTAATCAGGATGACATATCTATTTGGCTAAGAACAATATAGATTGACCAAACTGTAACTATGACAGAATAATGTTCTGTAACGAATTAATTCATAAGGTTGAATAAACATTTATATATTTAGGCTAATAATTTGATTCATAATACTGATGTCTATTTAATTTATCTTAACCATCAATATTTTTAATTTAAATGGATACCGGAAGTATTTTTAAAAATTGCTAATTGATTATTTTTCTGCTAATGCACTGATTAGTCGCTTTTTTTGAAAGAAAATCAGCGTGGTTTTTAAGAGGACACTATACCAGGGGTCAAACTTTTAATATTTCTCTTTCACAACCAAAAGTTATTTAAAATTTATTGTAAAAGGAGGTTCAGGAAAAAATAAAGTAACCAATGAAATTGCAAATACTGTAAAAAATTTCGAAATACCAAAAGAAAAACAAATTATGAGAGGAAAATTATAGAATGGTGAATTGGGAAGTTCTCTCCCAATAAATGGCATTTTAATATTCTGGATTTTTTTCAGCAATCGAAATTGTATGGCTTACTCCTGGAAGGCATGAACTCACTTTTTCTATTCTTTAAATTCTAATTCAGTTATGGAGGTGAAATAGAATTCGTGATTAAAAATTTCTAATACGATATAGAATCTTCTCAAAAAATTAAAATTTAACTTCAGCTTAGAATTAACGGCTGGTTATTATAGACTTTCTTTATACAGGTTATATACACTGTTAAAAATCTTCCGGGTAAAAATCTGGTGAACTAGGTGGTAACGGTCTGATCAAGCAATTCTACTGAACAACCTGACCTTTGTAATTACGTATTTTACCCACTCCTAAAACTCATAAATATTCATATTTATTAAAAATTGCTTCTCTATTTGATACAATGTTTGAACAAAATGTATAAGAATTTCAGATTAATTGATATATCTACCTTTATAAATTCTTAATTTTTTTTCAGCACCCATTGCTCCTGATAAAAGATTTCTTTTAAATATAAACTACACAACATTATTAGTCAATTTAAACAGTTGGCATAATGGTGGTTGTCCAATTCGATTCTTCATTGTTCAATATAAAGTTAATGGCCAACAGGATTGGACTTTAGTAAGCAATAATATTATTCCTGAACAACAAAATATTACGATAATGGACCTTATACCTGGGACATGGTACTCTTTGCTAATGACAGCTCGGAACGACGCGGGATCGACTGATGCGGAGTATGTTTTTGCTACTATGACAATGACAGGAGGTATAACATGAAGATTTTTTTAAACTCTTTTATTGCAAATCAATAAAATGTAATTAGAACATTAATAATTATGTTATAAAATAACTTTAATTTTTAACGATAGCAATCCATATTACCTCTGAATAGACTTCGAAAGTCAACTCACTAAAACTTAAATTATAAAACTTGCATATTTTTAAACTTAATCGTTAGTAACCAATTTATTTTGTGAACTTATTTTAATGGTAGTTTATGTAAATTAAAAGATATAATGTTTATATTATAGATCAAACAGCATCTTAATCGTTAAGTACTCTGAGTGTGAAAAGTTATGATATCAAATTTTAATTTGACCAATAGTAAATCAATTAAATTTAATGTTGCAAGTGTGCAATTATAATTATAGCTATGAATGCTGCACATTATAAATGCTTATTACCATTTAAATATTTAAAATTATGCTACAATCATAAAATAGTTCAGCATTTAGGTTCTATACGAGTAGCAAATCAATCTGAAAGGAACTGTTAAAGTTGCTCAAGGAGTTAAAAACCACATAAGTAAAAGCTGTAAACACAGGCGGTAATGTAATACTAGTTCTTTTATATTCGTTTAAAGGTGCCATTAGATAATTTTATTAATAATATTTTAAATAAAAGCATCGACTTTTTATTGTTATTTTTAAGGTGAGTGCATTTTCTTAAATTTTTGATGACTATGCTTAAAAAGCTTTCTTTTAATGTCAAGATTATGGCAATATTCATTTCACAATTTTTTCCTTACAAAATAGCAACACATCCTTAAAAAAATGTTACAGCTACTTACTTTAAATTGTTCCAGATTTTACATGCAATTATGCATGATTTATATATATATNATAGATAGATAGATAGATAGATATATATATAGATAGATAGATAGATAGATAGATAGATAGAGAGAGTAACGACTCAAAGTCTAATTAATAATTTACTCGTTCCAAAACTATAATTTATACAGGTCATTATCAATTTATTTGTTTTATTCATATAACCTATAAGGTCTATGCAATAAATTAATGTTTAAAAATGATTTATTTATAGAATATCCACCAAGACCTTCAGAAATGAGTGAAAAAAGTGGTCCTTTCTTCAGACATTTATTAATAACTGTACCTGTCGTCAGTTCAGCTATGGTTCTCATTGTAGTACTGTGTGTTGTGTATTTCATAACAAGGCGTAATTCAACTGGAGGAAGAGAACAGTCACCGGATGGTAATTATTAGATTCGTTACTATGCTTACATGTCAACCTATACAAGGAGCAAGGAGGGAATGGTCAAAGTTACCTTTTTAGGTCAAAAATTCGTTCATTCAGTTTAACTGATGTCAATTGAACTTGCTGCATACGTTATATGAACCAAATGAAAAAAAAAAAAACAATCTGTAATAAAAGTTGTTTTTATTTCAATATAAAGATGGCATTTTCATGGAATGACATATGTATCGTAGTCGAATTACTCACTGCGAGTTCGTTCGTGGTATCCAATTAAATAACTGATGTTTATATGCAGCAAGTACCATATTCAATCTGCATAGCATAAACTCCTCTTGTAGGTAGAGGTGTAGAAGTTCGAGAGAGATATTTCGGCTCAGACGTTATCCACGTCATTTTACTGAGGTCAACACTACATGGCATTCTTGCCTATTAAATAATTGGGCCCTGAAAATGTACAGTGCATTTCACGTCACGCGTGGGTCTGCCAAACAGGTTCATCACTTGCAGATATCAAATTAGAATCTGATCCGTACATTTATTCAGTGTGATAATAATCCAAATCCTTAAAGTTGTAACATTAACACGTCATGTACAACCACTTGATTAGGCACAACTCTGTTAGTATTTACAAAGACCCAATTTATTTGTTCAATATAAATACTACAAATTCAAGACACGCTATAACATTTGTGTACATGATTTAAAGTTGATCGTAGAAAACTTATATAGCTCTAACTTTTAATTAATAATAAATAAAAATATATTATATCAAATAATAAGATTTTTTAAGTTATCAGAACAATCCATCTTAGAAAAACAGATTTACGCACATTTTGATCAAAATACCTTTTGCCAAATTTATAGTACTTAATTTATCTTTATTCATGGCATTAAAATTAGATTTTGTTTAGGCATTGATAGAAACGAGCCCATTAAGGCTGAGTCCTTACCACTATCAACTACTTATGAAACTGCTTTAGAACCAACATACTTTCCAACTCCTTATGCTGCAAGTAAAGTTACAGTATACAATCGTGATACGTGCTTACATCCAGGTACCGGACATCAGCAAAATACTGGGACATTTGGAAGTTCCAGAAGTGGCTGCACATATGATATACCATACCCAACTAGAAAGGTAAATTCAAATGTATTTCATTAGTAAAATTGGAATTATTAATTTATTTAAGTAACTGGATTTTAAAATTCTAAAAATTATATGCTTTATCTAAATTAAGTAAAACTCAATTTTTATTACTAATATTTATCTTCTCAAAAAATAAACTTTCTTTTCGTTTTAATTGTAGGTTCAAAGCACAGAGAAAATTTACGAATCTCCAATTTTATATTTTCCTGTACTAGATAAAGGCAAGTTCTAAATTATTATTTTTAACAGACGAAGAAAAACTGCATATTGAAGAGATATTATAAGCTATTAGATAAAATTTTGTTTGCCAATAATAGTCTAATCAAACAAATTGTGTTTCAGCTGTTATCATATGAATTATATCTTAAAAATTAAATTTGGCAAAAAGTAAATAAAGCAAACAAACGAAGAAAAATAGAGAAAAAGTGGTATGCAAAAAATGTATCGATATGAAAATAAAATTTATAAATTAGTAAGCACGTAATCCAATATTTAACAAAAGAAAAATAGAGCTCTATAGTACAACAATAATTCCATATTTTATTTTTTAAAATAAACAAATATCAGAAATTGAATTCAATACTTAGTTTACACTTTATAGACGGAGCAAAATAAGGCATAAGAGTTAAGAGAAAAAAAGAAAAAAAACTTTAAATTAGAAATTAGATTTTGGATTGTGATCTTCAGTACTTATTTATTTCGTTTAATTTTATTTCATGTCATCACACTTAAATATACAAAAACCAAAGGAATAAAAAAATATTCCAAGATATAATGATAAATACATTTTATAAAGTTAATAGATGATAACTAAAATTTTCATGTAAATTTTTAAAAATCTGCTTCTATTGTTAAATTTAATTTAATAAATATTAAAAATTTTTCTGACTTTCAAATAGCCACATTCCGCTATTATGTTTTCAGCTGTTATATTATGAAAAAAAAGTTTATTTTTTCTATGTTTAAAAACAATCAAAAATTTGGAGCTTTATTTTTAAATTTACTTAATACAAATATACTTTATAAAATTAATTTTTCATGAAGAATGTTGATGTATGATCTATCATACGAAAGATTACTGTACAAAATACGTGATGATGAAAAAGAAGAAAGAAATATCACACAGTCTGGAAATTCACCTTGATCTAACCTTGGATCAAAAGTATATTGAAATTCACATTGATTTGAATAAATCCTATAAAGGGGAAAATTTTTTTTTATTAACCAATAATTTGAATTATTAGGTTACATGTTCTGCCAAAATTCAGAATAAAAATAAAACATTCAGAAGAAGTAAAACTACGGAAATAAAATTTTAAATCAAACACTAAGAAACAAATTTCTTTCCTTACTTTTTAACATTAAATATTAAAAACAAAAGTTCAAAATAAAAACTAAACAGCCAAAAACGAAATAATATTTTGCGAAAAATAAAGTTTTTTAATGCACTTCCATATGAACAAAAGCCGACTCTTATGAATAAAATTAGGTGTTTCGGAGGTATACATGAGGTTGATTTTGTAAGGTGTAAATGTGGCTGAAATTTAGTTTTATTGATGATGTCATTTTTGGTGTAAGCATGACCTAATTTTACACCTATGTTCTATAACTATTCACTAACATAAAAAATGGCAGTGCATAGAACAGGGAGTGATTTTTTTTCCATTGTAAATGTCACGTTAGTTTAAAAAATATTGCGTATCACAATTGTGACCAATTAATAACTACTTATATAAATGATAAATTTTAGTTAATATGAAATTCTGCTTTTTAACAAAATAAATTTAAAAATAAATAATTGAGTTACTAATCTTTATCTCTTTTTAAAAAAGTAAAACGAAATAAATCAAAAGATTTTGTGGTCTCCAGTTTAAATATAAAATGCTGGAATTAAATTCAATATTATATGCAATATGATTTTATTATTTTAATTGTTTAGAACTGAAATAAGCAACCATGAAAAAGAAAAAAAAAAGATTACTTTCTTCAAAATATGAAGAGTTAAAGAAGCAGGAAAAAAATCTGCTTATTTGAAAACTGAACAGGCACTAAGTGTACCATTAAGTAAAATATAATTAAATTCTTCTTGGAAGAATTTAATTATATTTTACTTAATTATACATTTAGTGCCTGTTCAGTTTTAAAATAAGCAGATTTTTTTTCCTGCACATAATATCAATTCCTTAAAACAATTAGAGCGACGTCTATTATATAGGCAGCAGATCAAAGAACATCAATATCCGAATGTGTGTATCTACAAAACCACTATCCACAAACAATTCTGAAGAAAATCATGTATCGATTACTGTATCAATGGCATTTCAGGAATTTTGTCGCATTTCATCGTAATTTTTCTCTTGAATATGTACACCTTTCACCATTTTAAGATATTCTAAAAACTGATTTCGCTGAAAAGCAATTACTCCTATTTTAATCCGGTTTTTTGGAATAAGGTAACAGGAGGTAAGTGCATCACCCGAAGAAGATGGGAAATCAAAATAGATACCATCTTGAAACAACCTGTGAAAAACCTAAATAGTTTTTATTTCTTCATGTAACCAGAAAGAAGGTGTTTTGTATTTGACAAAAAGTACGTTATATTTTGATGAAAGTTTTCTTACACTTTAATATAATTCAAAGTAAATTATGATTAAATTCTCAAATTATGATTAAATTAAACGGAATTCAGTATGCCGGTACTTTTTCCGAAAATTCATTTTTAATGAAACGTGTGATAAAACTCAAAATTGGTATACTCTTATTTTTACAGAAAAAATTACCGTAAAATCACTGAAATACTCTAATTAAATAAATATTAGTGAAAAAATTGAGGTAAATTGGAATTCACGGATGATGCACATGCAATGCCTGCACTTTTTAGAGCGATTTGATCCTTGATCTGGAATCTTTTGCAGTGAACAGTGCGTAAAGAAAAGAAAAAAAGAACGAACTGAAAAAACGAAATGTTACGGCTGTTATTAAATAAAATAATAAAAAATAGTAAATATATAATATTTTTTTCGTATGAGATTATCTTTAGATAAACGAATTTTATAATTGAGTGCTAAAATTTTTAATCCACCTAAAAAGTTCCGAAGATATGGCAAAAAACTCAAAAAATAAAATTAACATTAGGGAGTTCAATCTTTGGATCTTTCTCCACCAATGAGAACCAACTATGAGACCTCCAAACTATGAGGACCAACAAAGTGAAACTCCAAGCTGTGAGAACCATATTTCCCAGATTGCGACTACTAAAGAAACATAGACAGTTGCAGTATAGTTCCGATTCTTTAACGAACACCCTTCATCAGTTTTACGACACTGAAAAACAGAGAAAAACACAAAGTCGAAGAAACTTGTTCGCTATTTTCTTTCACATCTCTCATTCCTTTTTTCATTTTCTATTTAAGCACTTAACTATCAGACCGAATAAAAGTTTTGCAGTCCTTTTCAGCGGTAAAAAAATTATGCTTGTAAAGTTATCATGTCCATAAAAATGCAAGTCAGTCTGCTAACTTTTTCTGTGTATATATCGCTCCTGACTGTAAATTTACCTTATGCTTGCAAAAATTATCTTCTGTTTATCCCTTAACGATGTTTGAGACTCAGCTGCTTTGTTTGTCGAAAAAAAAGGAAACGTGGAAAGCTACTAAGTAGCATAGTGAAGGCATCTTTCTAGAAGTGAGAGAGCTATGTGTTCGTTGTCTGTGGTCACCGATGTAGAGAGAGTGAGAGACGTATGCTCTTTGGTGCTGTCTTGTTTTAAACCTAATACCTTCGTTTTTTGAATCCTGAGGTTGTAACATCATTGGTAAAGGGTTTTAATTTTCGAATCAATTTAGGAAGCCTTAGATACTAACCACATAAATTAATGGTAACTCCTATTAATTTTATCGAAGCTCAATGTAATTACGACTGCTGGATTGTTTCTTTAAAAAGGGAAGTCACCTTATTAATCATCGGCCAACTTTCAATTTTAAATAAATTTCTTGGAGCTAAAAAGGTTCTTCAATGTTGAACTGAAACTATAGTACTGGTTCTGCTCATTTTAAATTGTTCAGTTTTATTAATATATAGGGCAAAATTAAAAAATAATCAAACATTGAAAATTAATCATTTTTTGCATTATTCAATATATTGCACAAAAATTATTAAACAAATGATATCATATTAACTATATTTCAGATTTAAATTTTCATCAAAGATCTTTGATTTATGAGGATAACTTACAGGGCAATTGTTTGTCATGGAGAAGAGGAGATGAAAGGTGAGTAATTTATCAATTTCAAGAGTATCTTATGTCTTACGTATCTTAAATTTCAGAAAAAGGGGACAAAACTAATATTATAAATTACTGGGAAATCGTAATTATTTAAAAATACACTTTACGTCTTTTTTTTTCTTAATATGTATTCAAGAACCTGTTTTAAATTGTTTTTGTTCCAGTTCTTCAAGTTTAGAATCAGACGACTGTAAAATTTTAACATCCAATAAAAACTGCTATATTAAGGAAGAATCTAGAGAATCTGAAACAGAATGTGATAGGATATGTAAGTATGGATGTAACTAACGTATTTCTTTTTCTAAATTTTTTTTCTTTAATCCATTTACATGATTTAGAAAAGAAACATTAAAATGAAAATTGTGTGATATATTTTAACACCATGATTATATTTAGTTACAGGAAGAAATTAAAATATTAATAATAATTTTATAAAAAGTAAATTGATAACGCAATTAAAGAAAGTAATAAAAATATATGCTTTTATTGTACATTTCTGGTTTTATTGTACCATTGAATTATACAAGCATATAAGCATTAGATATTAAAACTATGATATTTCTAATTATATATTCACCCGTAACACAAATCCAAATTACAGTAATTATATTTTTAGGCACAATATATAAAATGTGATTTCCAAAGAAAAGAAACGATATATCGGAAGCAAATGAAAACAACATAGATGAAATAGTAATCTTTAAATCATACATTTAAATAATTTAAATATTATATCATTAAAATTAGCGTGTAAAATATAAATTAATCAAAAAGACAATAATTAAAAGCATTTATAAACTATAAGGCTATAATTAGTGACTAATAATAAACTATGAAGCTATAATTAATATCAAAATAGCCTAAAATATATACCAGTGGTAATATTTAAAATTGAAAAAGCACTGAAATCTTTGTTTTAAAAAATGAATTATGATCATTTAACAGTACAATTTTAATTTGAAGAAATTAAATGAAAAAAAAGTAGCTAGTGACATTCTGAAAAAAGCAAATGCCTAGAATTGAAAAATATGTTACTGCTACTGAAGGATATTATGGTTAAAACGCTGAAGAAGAATACAAGTTTGGATAATTTTAATGAAAAATATGCTGGACATGAAATACCTTATTTTAAACAATACCAAAGGTCTCTTTTCATATTAGAAAATTTGGAAAACTAATTTTGATTTTTTATTATCTGATATTTTTCAGGGAAATCATTTGAAGAATGCAAATATGAGACAAACAAACGTTGGGTTGAGCACACAGTTACTGCTCTCTCTTAACGACTTTCTTTAAAATACCTAAGGTAATATAAATTATGCTCTAATAAAGGGGGAATAATATAATTATATTATTCATTTTTAAATCTAAGTTTCATTTTGATTAATTTTTATTTATGATTCTACAAATCAAGAAGCTCAAATTCAATGAAATTGAGATACTTCATATTCCAATTTATCTGAAGTTATTCAAAAAACGCAGGACAATTTGAATTATATACTTTTGAATTAAAGTATTTTTTTTATTTTTTTATTAAAATACCTGGTAGTGAATTTCAATAAATAGTTCATACATTAGATAGAAATTGCAAAACAAACTTACGATTGTCTAAAAATACAGAAAAGAACAAGCAAACTAATATGTATATGTTTCAACTAGAATTTAATCAAACATGTGCATTTTGAAATACATTCTCTAAATGCTAGCTTTAAATACTTATATTTTTAAGTCCTCGGACGTGAATTTTTCAACACATGAATTCCTAACCAATTAAATAATGCAAAAAAACATATGCTTTTATTATTCACCCTTCATCAAATGTTTATTCATTCTGAAGCAAAACAGAGCCACAAGGAAGATTAATCCGTACAATGTACTTTATATGGTTTTAAAGTTTACAAGTTAATGTGAAAAGTAAAAATTTTACAATTACTCGTTATTCAACAATTATTAATTAATATCATTCAAGATACATACATGCATATAATATATAAATACATACATAGATATACTTTATATATATATATATATAAAGTTCAAAATGAAGAATNAATAATAATAATAATATGATAAATGTTTTTTGCCTACTCCTAAAAGGAATATCGGAAAACATTTAAATATACACAGTAAATAATTCAATTTCGGGTCAAATACCAAATAATGTGTTGTCACTTTAGGTTCATTATCCGTAAAATCTATTTTACCATTAAATCTTAAACCGTTATTTTTAAAATAATTAATGTAATTTATCGATTTTATGATAATGATGACTGTAAAAATCATCGTCTTGCTAATAATTACATCATTCTTGTAAATATTTAAAATCTGCAAAAATACCTTGATTTCCTGTATTGATACGTTTATTTTCAGAATCTGAAAGACATAGCGTTAGTTGTCTGAAAAAGGAGGCCAGCAAAACTACTTTTGAAAAAAAAATGTGTATTATGTTTACATATCAATCTGGTCATTTGATGAAAAAGAATCCCTTGTGAAACAAGTTCAGAGCTTATATTCAATTGCAGGAAGAAATATACGGATAAAACTGTTGTCTTTTATGTAAAGAAATTTAAAAATAATAATCTGTCACGGTGCCAAATGTGTAAAAAAAAAAAAGAATATTTATATCATGTTAATAAAATGTCTGTTTTTCCAAAAAAAAGTGTTTTCCTTTTATTTAAAGTTAGAGCTCAGTAAATTTGCTGAAAACAATAATAATAAGAATTAAAATAGAAACTTATTAGGGAAAAATTTCAGAATAATCTTTGTCAAAATATTTTGCGAAAACAATTTATCTATAAATCTAATATCAGTATTAATTGTAAACGATATTTAAATTATGCATGATATTTGTTTGGTTAACCTTTATCCATAAGCTTTAGGTAAATAAAGTATAATTGCTTAGTATTTAAATAAATTTGAAATAATCATTCTTCGATTCAAGAAATAAATATATGATTTCCAAACATTCCAAGTTCTAAATAAAAGAAATTTCTAATAAATTTATGAAGACGCGATTATAGTAAATGCATGTAGCTTTCGTTTTAAAGAATTGATAGTCCAACGATATATCAAACAATAATTGCTTTAATTTCATAATAATTATCATTATGAAACTGAACAAAAGAAATGGTAAGCATCAGGCTCCTATAATAGAGATAAAGAGATGGCTCTTCAAACATAATGAAATTTTTTTTATTAAATTAATAACAGTTAGTTGAGGGGCTAAGACCTCCAGTCCAAAAGCCAAGAATTTAAAACAAGCAACTGGATTATTCCCAACGGACAGTTTGGATCATGGGAAGAGATCTATAGTTGGTGATTTATCGAAAGATAAAATAACTAAAAACAAAATCATCTCCATGTTATTAATATTTAATTTTAAATAATTTAGTTAAATCTTAATCACCTAAAAAGGCAATGAGAATTAATTTAACCCTATAACTGAAACATTTTTCTGATTAGAGAAATAAAGAATCTTAAGGAATAAAAAGTTGAAATAAATTTTTGATACGAATTAATGAGTTATACACATGTATTGAATTACAAAGGTAGCCGTTACATTGATTGTTAAGAAGAGAATATAAAATATTCATATCTGCTTTTTAGAAAATGTAACAGAAATCAAATTATTAGTTTAATTTAATCAAAATTAGATTAATATTGATTAAAGAAGAATTTTATGAAATTTAGGAAATTTAAGGAGCTAGGAAATAAGCAATACATATTATGACATCACAAATTTAAAATTACAGGAAATTTACCAAACATAGTCTATCCATTCAATTAATCATAATCTTTACAGTAAAGCGTGCTGTTTACCTTTACGGTTTTCAAACCTTTTACAACTAGTATGGATAAAAAATCATGAATGCAAAATCATATGATTTTTAGCTATTTGCAAATGGCAAGATATCAAAAGCTTGAAAAAGAAATTTAACTGGACATTAGAGCTAGGCATTTCGTCAGATAATGGGCATAGGAGTAAGGTTGAGTTTGAATTTTGTTTTATAAAATGAACCAAGGAAAGAAGCTTAATTAGTTTATCTGGTTGTTTCACTTATCGTAAGACATGGGAAATACTAGACTTTTTTGCCATAAGCAGCTCTATGATGCTGCCTTCAATGCCTGAAAGAGAGCATCGTGTTCTACTTGGGGAATGCAGCATTGGAAACTGCGTTGAAGCGATTGGAGAAAATAAGGTGGCGTCAGGTTGTTTAACAGAATTAAGTGAAAACATTTAATAAGCGGTTTTTCTCACAGTTAAAAGTTTAAATAACTTTTTTTTATGATTATTAGTGTTTTGTATGAATGTGGTGAAACAACAATTAAATAAATTGGTTTTAAACTATCTTTTGGGAAATGTCTAACTGTGTACTTGACAAATGTGAGTACTAGTAGTTAATGTTGTATTTAGACAAATTTCTATTTAAAGTAGAAAGAAATAAAATATAAAACACTGTATTCTATCCCATAATTATGATTCAATGCAGAAGATACAGGAATTTAATTTTTTGGTATTTTTTGAATATTCGACAAAAAGCAATAGAGAATTAACTATATAATTAAACTAAAAAGGAAAACAGTAACTTAAAAAAACCGGAAGGCAATTAGATAGAACTAATTAATTCTTTAAAGAATAAAAGGAAAGTGGGCACATTAAGTCCATATTATATCAAACAACTTACTAAAATAATTTCTAAACTAATAAAAACTTAAGCAAAGGGATTTATTTACTTTGAACTCATTAGCGATCAGTGGTACTTTTCTTATCTAGATTTTCACGGATGCAGTTTCTCTAAACACGGGGATCTTCTCTCTAACGTAATTACTAAATCAAATTTAGTTATCTTTTTTTTACATTCAGAGTGAAATCAAGCTGATTCGCAAGATTATTTCTGCTATTTTGTAGAGTCCTTACGTAAAAAGCCTAAGTAATTACGCCAATTTTTAGAAAGTTAATTATTGCGTAACTTTTCTCCCTATATCTAATTAATATGCTTGGATCTCTTACAAAAAAAGTGAGTATTGTTTAAACATAATACGGGGCTGCAGGGTAGAAAGAAACGAATGATAAAATAAAATAATTATTATATTTCCAAATTATGATTTTCATTTATTCTTCGTCATGTTATAGAACAAAAAAAGAAATGAATAGAAAAATTTCATTTTCTTTCGGTTAATTATCAATAAGACTTTAGTTTTTAAACTTACAGAGAAACGTATTCGGTTACTATTTTTAATAAGTTAAAAAATGAGCCAAAACTAAAATGAATCTTGAAATGTTAATTAAAAAAGAAAATTTTTAATAAAACGTTTATTTCATGATTTATTTCTTAAAATAAGTTTTAGGGTTGTATCGTATGTGTTACTAGAGTTAAAAATAGCATAAGTAAAAAAATGAAATAAAAAAATTTATTTAACTAATTTAAAATATTGTAGTAATTCTAGCATTTCAAATATGGTACGTCATAGTTCCCCTCTTAAGGTTTGTAGCTCTACTTTAAGACTTTTTCCCGTAAAGAGTTATTCACAACACTTAGCATTTCCCGTAATGAGCTTACCGCAACTTTTTCATGTATTATCCCTTAAGAAACCAACTGAGGAAGAGCATCGTGGTTAAAATCATAGCTTCTAGATTTCGTGACTATCTTACCACTGATTTTTAACTTGCTTAAACTATCTTCCAAATTTTGTTGAGTTGTATTACTTTAATTGTTAAAATATTTTTTTTCTTTAAATGTAGAACTTTCTGAAAAATATGAAAGAAATGCTATTTTCCCCAATTTGAAAACAAATTAAAAAAACAGTTTTGATAACGAAAAATATGACATTTTTCATGCATTTTTTCGGTAAATATGTGGAACCGTGAGGATATCTTCTACAAATCAGAGGACATATACTACTGAATAAAAATACTCTTAGCAGTATTGAATATTTTATTTTAAAAACAATTAATCAAATAAATAAAGATTGCATTTGCACAGTTAACTTTTTAAAAACATTTAAAGCAAGTAAAAATGTATTTAGATATTTACTCTACCGAAGTTAGATTGTAATTAGATTGTAACAAGTTAGATTGTTATTATTTCATAAAATAATAGAAACCAATTAATTAAATTCTGAGTATATATTATGGTAAATCACTTGCTAAAATATCTTCTTCACTGATGAAAAGTTAAGCAATGAGATTTATTCACTCTCAGTTCATTAGTGGTACTGTAAATACCGTACTGTAAATTTATGTCTCCTGTATCGCTGAACACAAGTATCTTCCCACTCGTCTATTTTCTAAAACAAATTTATGATATCGTAGCTAATCACGGCAATGAGCTCGTTCCTTGCTTAAACCAACATCTAATACCCGTTTCTTTTTTCGGATTAAATAATTTGTATTAATTTAAATTTATAATTCGCGTGAGTTAAAAAATATTTGAGAAATTTTATTTCCTACCAATTGAAGCAAAATTTGGAAATTTAAATTAAATAATTTTAATTTTAATGGACACAAGAGTTTCAAAAAATAGTTCTGATAATGAAGTTTTATTTAAAAAAAAAATAAACTTTTTATTAAAAAATCATCAAAACAATTAGCATATTCCTCAAAGATGCCTTAGTATAAAAAATCAAGGTAAAACGTACTGTGCAGAAAATACTTTAGAAACTAAACAAAAATGTGTATATTTAAAATAACTAAGCATTAGTTTTAATATTACATTTTTTAAAGTAATTCCAATCACTCTTTCACATTATTGCTCCAAAAAAGCTAGTGTTAAAGTTGTCTAATTTCTTGTTATAACTTTAGGTATGCAAGCAGCTGGAATTTTTTTTTGGAGCTCCATTACCTATTTTTTAAAGTATTCTACAATTTTAATTAGTTTAAAATTTAATTTTAATATCTATTAAACCCTTCTATATACGATATAAAAAACAGTATTAATTTTTTTAATAGTTTTAATTTAATTTTTGACTGAGAAATTTGACAGTTATTTGACGGAATTAAATCTGACTATAAACTTTTAAGTTTTAGTATTGTACAGCAAAAACGGTGTTAGATTTTACGCATAACATGCGCAATTATATGCAGTATAAATTTTACATATGATAGAACGAAAGTTTTACACTTTGTTATTTTATCTAAATGTATTTAGATTTCTGCCAAATATACCTTCCAGCATTTTTTGTGAACCATATTAAGCAGAAAAACGAACGAAGTTTATGGGGAATATTTGTATTTAAGAGTCATCGATCACTTTGAAGCATTTCAATCTTTTTCATAAACGTAGAAACTATAACAAAAAAAATATTTTTTAGCATTATATATCTTTTTATTGAGGCAACGATATATCATTTCGTATTATTCAATTTATTTCCTTAGCTATTTTTGAGCCAATAAGTTATTGCTACCAAACTAAAGGCTTTTCTTCCCTCACAATGAATTTAAAACAATGTCAACTTTTTAGTTAAATTAGATTTAATATATAATAAAAAATATATTAATGCAAAATTTCTCATATTTATGATATGTTTATGTATATTATTTATTTATTTATTTATTTGAAAATAGAATGGAACAGAATTTTCTTTACTAA